AGCCGTAATTTTTGAGATATTTTGATGAAATGTGGAAGAACGAACGACGTTGAAAATGGTGCGGAAAGGACCACTTTTTCGAATACTTCTCATACAACATCTTATTTTCAAAAGTCATTGGATGAATAAATTGCGGTATGGTGTAGTGTGTAAAATGCCGTGGGACGTGTCTCCATATACTTGAAAATATTTTCAAAGAGATAACAACGAATCGAAAATTCAGGGTTTCAGAATATGTCCTAGGAAAAGATCGATATTGAAAATGAATTGCAAAACGTTTTAATCAAATGCAAGACGCTCCCGAGATTATCCCGAGAGACTAGGCAGGGCTTCTAAAGTTTTTCTAATCAGAAGACTAATCCACTCCGTCCTTTGAAAATTGCAAATAATGGACATCATGTCAACATGAGGTGATTACCTGTTTGGAACCTTGATGATTGAGTGAATAAATCATTATCCTGGAAATGTTTCGCTATAATTATTATCAAATATCCCTATGGGAAAATATTACCCAACTTTTTCACTGCTTAAATGTTTTCGCATTATCCTGCTTACGTTTAAGTAAAAATATTTAAAATACACTTTAAAAAAAAAAATTTTTTTTCCTTTAAGTTTAAGTGCCTAAAGGTTATGAGACCGCAGCACATTATCTGGACATAGTCATTAGTACACTTGATGCGATTCTATTTCCATTATAAACGACGAAGCAAACGCTAATCATTTTAAGAATGGTAAGAACGAAACGTTCAACTTAATTGACTCAATATCTTTGTGTACTTTTTTTTTTAAACACATTCTTAAAAATCCGTTGACTCCTCTGAAAATATTCGAAAAATAATTAATTAAAATTTTGTTTAGTGCTTTTAATTTTCATTTCATTTGTATGACAGCCATGTGTACGAGTTAAGCACAAGCGAATGCTATATATTCATTATATTACATTAACGCCTACAATATGTAGTCAAATGTTCTTTATTTCTAAGAATATTTAGTAAACATTCAACCATATTTACAAAAACATCTATATAGTGGTTTGGAAATGGTGATGAAGCGAATTTTCGTTGCTATATATTTTTATATAACGCTATTATATTATGAAAACACAGACTTTAAAGTGTGCATTTTTTTACATGAATTTAATTAAATATTATTGTTTTGAAAGTGTAAAAAACTATTCAACTTTTCTTTGCTTTTTTTTTTTCTGTTTTGTGCAAAGTAAATGTTACGCGATTGAATGTATGTATTGTAAATCTTTATTACGTTTGTCCGAATTGTAATATTTATTCCATTCCCCTTCAGGCAGTCCTCGCCGAAGCTATTTTCAATTTGAAGGAGACTAAAGATAAGGCTAGTTCTGAAACCGATCCTCAATTCCGGCGATTTTCTAGTGCCTACAATTGAAAAATATAGTTCCCTTTGATAGCTCCAGTTGCATGTAGGGAAAAGCAACAAATAAAAACACTATAGCAGGGCACAGTCCCGACCTTTAAATGCCCTACATCGCACTACAGTTTTTTACATAATGACTTTTCTACACAAGTCTTTGTATGGGAAATGGTCAAAAAAGTGTTCTTATCCATACCATTGTCAATAGTATTCGACCAAACCCCGCCGGTATACCAAATTCCGTCAAAGTATCTCAAAAATGTTAGCCGAACATAAGAAAACGAAACGAACAGGCGGACGGACAATTTTAAAAGGATTGAGAAAGTAATTTAATATAATAAAAGCCTAGATCAATCTCTAGTCCTTTTGGCTTTGCGTACATCCGCACAAATTTAATACACCATTGCGTCAGTATACCAAGTTTCATCAAACAGCTCATAGGTTGAACACAAAAACAAAATGGACAGACGGGGTTACAAAATCTAAAACGAAGTAGAAAATGACTGTGAATCGATATGTGGGCTAAAAAATTTGTCTTACTAAAGCCTTTCCAAGTGTTGCTTACGTTCACTAAACCCACTAAATATCATCAAAATACCTCACCAATTGCAGTCAAAGAAGGGAACGACAAAAGATCAAAAAGATAAAAAGGCGTTTGCACAAAGATTACAAGCGATTTAAAAACTGAAGGGAACACAAATTAGGTAAACAGCTAGGCAGTGTGTGTGTGTGCTTATAAACTTTAACCACAAATGGAAAAAAAAGAAGAATGAAAAGTTATAGGAAACCCTATCCTCCTGTGGAAAGAGAAAACGACGAACCGCCACCATTCCCTCCGGAATATTGTGAAGCAGCGGCCAGGGCAAGAGGTCTGAAAAAGATGCGAGCCTCCGAAACAGAAGCTGTACTTTGAACATTAGAAACCAAGACGGACGGACAGACGGACAAGCCTAGATTGATTAAAGAAAGTGATTCAGGTAATAAAAGGTAAGTCTACCTCAAATAATTCTGTTGCATATATCCGCATAAACTCAATGTTCCTTTGGGTCACGGTATAGGGACAGTATAAAAACATACCACATAGCACGATCGCGGCATCAAATCCCATTGCATACCGTATCGACAAGATTTAATGAGAAATGTAACACTTTTGATATAAATTTTTGTATCAATTTCCAAAACATCTCGGTTCATGTTCGAGAATCGATTTACAGCACTCTTCTGAAACTCCAATTTTTACAATGGCATCTGCAATTATTATAACGCAATGTCCCTCATTTTTTGTCTCGTTTCGTGTGAACTTATGCTATCTTTGTTATACCAACACGGTAACCCTTCGTTGATTGGCTCATAGTTGTCACAGAGCTATCGCCAAAGCCTTTTTTTAACAGTTTTCCTGATTAATTTTCTACAATAGAGTATAGAAGTTCACGAAGCTTTCACGTCGCAATGTTAGCGTTTAAGTTACGGTGTTAGCACTTACACGCGAATGTTAATACTTACACGAGGACCAGTATAAACGCTCCTCACACTTCGGCATAATTGTCCATATTGAGTTACAAAGGCTTCCTCTGCAGCTTTCCGTATAAATGATCCCACTACCGTGCTAGTATTTACACTACCGTACAGTCACTTATACCACGATGTGGATGCTTATACAACTGGAATAAATTCTCCGTACACTTCAGTATATATACCATATTGAGGTATACCTCAATTTTATACTATGATGTATTATTCGTAAAAACATTCACCCTACGGTGTTGGTATGTGCACTAGTGTCGCAGTGCCGAGACTGTTCGTATATATTCTTACTTTAGGATATGTGCTACAATAGTATAAGCTTACGCGCTACGGAATTTCTATTTACGCTAATGTATAAACACTTATATTATCATAGTGGTACCTATAACACAGTACCTTTTTATACTTTTGGATCAGCATATCCTTCAAGCTTCTACATTGTATTCTATGTCGTTCTCCTTACTTTCAAAACGTCTTATTATTTCTTACCGCTGCCAAAACACTTTTTAATAGGCGATAGAACCTGTCGATGGCTTCTAACTGGTCCAGTCTTCGAGATACTGTTGATATATATGCGATGCTACTTAAGTGAATTCCACAATCTCAAAAATTAAGATAAACAAGTAGGAACATTATAGTCGGGCAACGCCAAGCATTACATGCCCTACGCTACTTCGCCCAGTACAGTTATTCACTAATTTTAATAATAATACACCAAGAAGTACACATTATTTTCTTGCATGAAAGTCGCAATTTTTATGAAAGTCCGCATATTGGAAAATTTGAATCTCTCTCCATATAAGAGTTTGCTATTCGTGATAGTGCCCATAAAAGGGATGGTCCAAATGATCCAAATTCCCTGCCGCGAATTCTTTTTGCTGATTTGCTCCTATGAATTATTAAGATATCATGAGATATTTGATATGGAATGGGGCCAATAAATAAAGCCATGTGGTTAAAATTATGTTCACTTAATTTTCCCCTTTAATTACTGTAATGAAAAAGTTTTCCTCACAAAAAAATGAACTATTAGGCCTTTTTGGCATATAAGAGTCTAGATTTCATCAGAACCATCACATGCGGTCGTATCCAAACATAAGCCTACTTAGTCCAAATTTGGTAAGGCGGATTTCTGTGTCAATTCACTAGAATGAGCATGAAATATTGAAAATTCGACTTTTTGCCACATAAATGCTCAGTTTTCATGGGATTGGTTAATTGAGCCATCCGGTCCAAAATGTTCACAACAACTAAGAGTGTCAAAATACCGTTATTTGACAACTTTTGTCGATAAATTTTGAAAATTGAATTTTTTTGTCGACATAATAACTTTTCAAAATAGGGCGCTATATGGAGAACGGCCGAGAAAGTGCATTTTCAAAAGGGTTCGTCCTCGGATCATAGCACATCACTGTATCAAATTTCTTCATAATATCTTAAAAATTGCGAACTCAAATTTACGTGTACAGATGGACAGACAAACGTAGATCGGTATAATGAAAGGGTTGTCTCTTGGAAGCCCTTCTACGTGTTACATACGTCCGCATCAACTTAATGTACCCGTTAGAACAAGTGATGTAGGATATAAAAATTGAAATGTACATAAAGGCAAGAAGTGTGATCTGCTCAAAGTTGCGCTGAAAATGTGTACAAAACATAAGTAATTGGATACCGGATGACCGAGCATGGTCGAGTACATTCCTGATTTAATCGCTGTCCACAATAAGCCCCGGCACTTTATTGCACATAATCTTAGCATTACTTCGAAATATTCCGAATATTAAATGTGGGAACTGCTAACACAAAGAAGCAAACAAGCAGCAAATTGCTATTAAAACCTCACAGAATCATCCTTCTAAGGGTATATAAATTCCAACAAAAAATATTTCTTTTATTACATGAATGTTTTTTTTTGTTTTTTTTTTATATTTTTTTATTATTTTATTTATACAAAAATTAAGAAAAAAAAGAAAACTTGTAACACTTACACAAATGTAATTTTCATAAACTGTTTTTGTTGTAAGAAAAATATTATACTTAAAAAATTGGTATTATCCTTGTTAGAGACTGCTCTCTGTATAGAGGATGAAAAAAAAAAAAAAAAAAAAACGGTGTTTTAATCTCCAAAGAGTTTTTTTCCCAATTCCATCATGCGATGATTACGGCAAACGCGTAAAGCATCGGCCTTCTTCAAGACGCCAGGAACCGTAGTATTTACTTCGACCAATTGTGATAGAAAATCTTCATAGGCCGATTTCACATTCGCCGGTAGAGTACCGATTTTGACCTTCTTCAATAAATGAACAATACCCTCAGCCCAACCTGATTCGATAGCGAATTCCGATATCCATGGAACTGCCGGTAAAACTCCGCACATAGTTTGCATACCCAAAAACCATAATTCTGATAATTCATTCCAGTGTTTTTTATAAGCGATAACTACAACCAAGGCAGTAGGATCATTCGATTCGTCAATATTATAAGCATCCCATAGGAAACGTATAGTTGCCTGTATATAACGGCATATTGAGAAATCATTTTGTTTAACTCGTTTCGCTTGCTGCTTAAGCAGCAGTAATCCTAAGACAGACAAATTACCATGTAATACTAAATTATCGGGTGTGTCCTTCAATTCGGGTAAACTTTCAACGACAAATTTAAATAGATTAGCAAACATCGGATCATCCTCGGATAATTTTGGTTCCAAAACGGTTAAATTCATAAGTATATTGCACATCGATATGATTGCTAAACGAGCATTTTGCATTTCGGCCAATTGTTCGGGTGAGGGTTTCGGATCGGGCTCGTTCATTCGTTTAAGACGTTCGGCTCGCGGTATCGGTGGTCGTTTATAATGAGCGATAGTGAAATAATACTCAATATGCTGAAGTAAAACCTCATCTTGTTTAGTCGAAAATATCAATTTGCGAGCTTCGTCTTCCAACACTAAATGGCATATAGCCGGTAGCATAACGCGTAATATATCGGTTGGTGGATCGAAATTCTTCACGCCAGCTGCCGAACGCCATTCTTTGAACTCTTCAAACGACTCATTAGCTACTTTAAACATAAACGGCAATAATTTATAAATTGCCGGTCGCATGGCGGTAGTTTCTTGAGCTAACCACGACGATAATATACCCACTGAGGCACGTATGAAATATTTTTCCTTAGGATTTGTTGTATCTTTGATTTTATCATTCGATATCCGATTCAAAACGGACAGGACTTGATTGAAAGCACCTTTTAATGCGGTGTACGTTGTTTGCTTTTCCTTAGGCTCTAAATCCAATTGATCGGTTGCCAAATATTCGATACATTTTTGCAAAATCACAAAACAATTTTGTATAAGCTCAGCATTACGGAACGTTGTCTCCAATTTCTTCTCATCCATTTGCATTCGCACCTCGATAGCGGCCATTTGCAATATGAGCAAATAAAATTGCTTCTCATCGTTCATGAAAGCCCATTGTATACCGAGTACCTGTAGTGTGGTGGCAATTAAATGCAATGTGGGTTCACGCTGCTTAGGACCAATTTTACTTTTTAATATATCACCGCAACCTTTAAGTAAACTCTCCGGCCATATTTCACCTTCTAACGAATTATAAATTATTTCACGTTTGCATGTTTTTAAAATTGCGGCTAAAATTTTACATAAATCATATTTACGATCACTATGATCGGTTTCCATATCTAATGAAATTCGTTGCACTAAAGCGTTAAACGGTTTCGGATCATCCGACCAAGCTGCTGTACCAAATTTATTCACCAATAATACAATCAATTGTAAAGCTTCATCTGTTTGAAAACTTTGAGCCGCATATATTTGTGACATTTTAGCAATTGTTCCCGAATCGATTAAAATATTTTGACCCGGTTCAAAGGAAGCAATCGATTTCAAACAGCTATATGCTTCGCTAACGACAATTAAATTATCATCACAATCATCATCGTCGGCTTGCTCGACAATTTCAACTAAAGTGGGTATAGCTTCCAGCATTTCCTTATGTGTGGCCAATTCTTCCTCTTGGCAAAAGCATGTCAGTATAGATAAAGCTACACTTTTGTACACTAAAGGTGGACAATCATTCGGTAAATTTTTACCATTTAATAACTTCTTTAGAAAATCAAAGCCGATCGATTCAAATAAAAGTTTCTTAGCGCTGGCGTTACAATCTTTACCCTTTACCAGTTTCGTGACCATAAATAAGGCAGCGAATTTTTCGGTATCACTTTTGGTAGCCTTCAACATGGCGGCACATTTTTTAATGGTTTCCGGTATATCAGCCATTTTTTCTTTTTTTTTTTTCTTTTGCCTCAACTAATTCTTCAATTAATTAATGAACGGCATATATTTAAATGTTTTTGTGTTTTTTCTTTATTTTTTTTTTTTAAATTTTCAAATCTATTTTAAGCAAAGTTTACTTTCACATCACATAAAAGCAGATATATATCTTAAAAAAATCTTGTACTACTTTTATAACAGTTTGGAAAATATCTGATCTTTTTCACTGGACGCACTCTCCTTAACTGAAAAATCGAAAAATATTTTTTTCAACTCTACGTTTGATACAAACGTTTATACGAAAACTAATATTAGGAAAATTTTATTTTTAAAATAATACAACAAAAACAAGTAAGAAAATTGTAGTCGGTCGTGATCGAGTCTTTTATACCCGTCACCGTTATCCGAAAAGAGAGAAAAACATGAAAATCTAGGCGTGTCCTTTAACCGATTTGGCCTACAATATCAGCCCACGTACAAGAACTTCCAATGCTTTCGCCAAAGTTGAAGCTGATAGCTTTATTTGCACGGCCAGGACACGAACGAACAGAAAAACGGACATGCTTAAACCGATTTAAAATTTGATACTGATCGAGAATATATAGACTTTATATTGTGGACCCTCTATGCTTCTTTTTGGGCATTGCAAACGTTTTGGCAAACTGAATATACCCCTCATCCTTCGGTGATGGGATGGGATAAGAAAAACATTTATTTTTTATTTAGAAAGAGATCTTAATTTCACATATAATGAGTTCTTAGATCTTAAATTAAATTTGAAAAGAGGCAAAGGCAAAATTTACTGATATTTTCTCAATCACCCTACTATTATCCATGTATTGTACTCCATACTACTCGTCAGCGTTCTTCAAACTCTCGTCGTTTCTCTTTCTCTCTCTCTCTGTCTGGCGCTCTTTATGCATCTCTTACATTCTCTCTTTGTGCATAAACAAAATGTTATTTTTAGCGATGTTTAACGCAATGTAAATGTTTCGTATCCATGCTGAACAACACAAGTACATATGTGTATAAAGTGAATGTTTTTCCATAAAAAAGAAAACAAGTAAGAAAATTATATTCGGCCGCGACCGAATCTTTTATACCCATCACCGTTAACCTGAGAAAGACTAAAAAAAAAAACCAAAACTTCTTTATATTTTATAATATTGGATGGGGGGGCCAGGGTCAGTTAATTTTTTCTATTTTCGGAATAAAAGTGAAGAGATTTATTTGGGGTATGTATTGCACTTTATGAGTAACGAAGAAAAAAACACGAAAAAGCCAAGTTGTTCTCAGTTTTCTTTGTACAGACGTGTGGGCGTTGTAGGCGTCTTCCCTGATCAGTTTTGATCCGTTTCATGTTCTTTTGCAAATTCGTAGCCCACAGAATATAAGTGTACGGTTTGATAGATTTAAAAAAAAAGAAGAACAAAAATTTTTTATTCATTTTGAAAAACGGAGATGTTCTCAATTTACGTAAAACCGTAGGCGCGCTCTTCGATCGATTTGCCCAATTTTCAATACAAAACCTTTTAGGGTTCCTGCGAAATGTGAAGTCGACAATTTCATTCCGAATTTTCATTTCGAATTTGATGCTAATCAAGAATATATATATAGTATATATATATGGTGGGCTCTCTGACCATTTCTTCGGCGCGTTGCAAACGCTTTGATGCAATCACAAAATCATGGTTTGGTTATGAGTATAAAAGGTTCGGTCGCTGCCGAATATAATTTTTATACTGATCAATAATATATAATTTTTGTATTGTCTCTCTACAAGCTTCTTCTCAAGCGCTACAAGATGTGATAACATATAATATCGAGTTTTTCCGACCTATTTTGCCCTTTTTTATACAGTTGCTTTTTATTTTTCAAAGCATAGATGGTCTCAAGTTATCTTCCGTGTACTGTGGTCGGATTCTCTGAGAAGAATTTTTGCTACACACATTACACGTGCAGACAGATGGCCGCACAGGCGAACTTGATTAAGTCGGACATATAGAATTTGATGTTGATGACGCTGTCATTCTTCTGGGTGTTGTAAACGTTTTGACTTCATCTTTCGATAATCGATATAAAAAATAAGAAAATTGTATATACCTTAGTTCCCATCATCTCAAACAAACTTTATTGTTCACAGTTAGTCTCTGCTAAATGATCAAGATCTCACTCGTCTTCTGCTTGGTTTGCAAAATATTCCATCAAACCTATAAATGAGTACCTGCTTTGATGTCGATTCTAAAATTTGTACTTCTCGTCATATACGCAATTTAAACTAAACGTCACATGTGATTATTTCGGGAAAGTTTTAATCGAATCCTTATTACATGCTTGCAATTTATTGCAATCTTATTTAATCTAATATCTACAAATTTCATTCTTGATATCCTAAAATAATATTCTAACTATTGTAGGCTATGGGTGTCGATTTATTACTTTCATATTAAAAGTTGTATTATCGCATAGCCAAGCAGTTAAGAAGAAGCGGGGCTATCAAGCTTGCATTCCCGCATTCTCAATTCTTAGAGCGATAGTGACCTGATGATCAAAGCGTGGTTTCTAATGCATAAGTCTCAGTCGTAGCAGTTTGTGTGAACTAGAAATCGTAGGTACAAACTCGGGGATTTCCTTTAGGAAAGGTACAGAAAAAAACATCTGAAATTGTTTACAATTCAAAAGGAGGTATGGAAATTGGAATGAAAAACATATGAAATCAATGGGAGGTATGGAAATTCGATTGAAAAACATATGCCCGTCTTTGATGTTTCCTCTTTTTATGCCGCTAGACAAAATATGAAGAACGGACGTGACATGTCCGTTTTGCATTTTGGTCTAGAGTCCTTACTGAAGAACATGTAAACGCTTTCAGTCCCTACCGCAATCTTTGCGAGACCGATCGATCGAGAACGATCAAGAGTGTCTCTACTCAATCTAACCATTCAAGCGGATAAGAGAGCGCACGACTAAGCCGATGGGCGAATGATTTCAACGAAGGACTATGCAGAAGACCTACATCGATGTACATAAAGTCTTACGTTTATCAAAGAATATATTAGAAGGATCATAATTGAATTCCCTAAGGTAAAGACCGTCAGAAAAGAAATCAGTATTTCAGTGTTTCATTGGCGTATACGAGATGCATCCAAAGAATTAAGTGGTTTCTTATTTAGTCCCCTTATTTTGTCCTTCTGGAGGTAATCCCGTTTATAAACAATATACTTGTACCAGCGCTCCTTAAAATTGTCGAAGCATTTTTGTGATATGCCCTCTTTAGTATGGCCTTGGGCTCCTCCAATGAAACGGCCTTCATCTCCTTAATTTCCGCTCTTTCATGGCTCTCTGCAGAGTCATTTGGAAACTGGAGAAAGCCAAAAATTTACGAATAAAATTTTAAAAGTCGCCACGCCTTTTTTTGAACACACCTCGTAAAATAAAAAAATTCAATATATTTATATAAATGACATAAATTATGTTTCGTTTGCCATAACTGCATTAACTTAATGATGCTTAATGATGAGTGCTTTCTTCATAACTCAATATAATGTTTGAAGCACGCCCACACGCCTGGCGTCATATAGAGAATATATAAAAATACAAATTGTAATTTATATTGCTAATAATCGGACGAATGTAATTTACAATATTTCGATACTTACACATTTAAACGAATCCGTTATCTCAACTGCAATTATCTAGAAAGTTTAAAAATTTAAAATTTAACGCATTTCTTCTTCTTCTTGTATATAAATATAAAATATTGTAGCTTTCATGTATACATTCTTGCATTATATGTATATTTTATTTTCATTGGCAGCTGCTTCTGTCTTCCATCTGTTTTCGCTATTAGTCTTTCGAAAATCTGACTGCATTATTTGTCATCACGACTTTTTTGTTCTCAGTAGCCTTAAAAAATATTGCAAAAAAGAAAAAAAAATGAATGGAGAGAATAAGGCGAGAATAATTAAAAAACAAAAAAAAAGCAAATTAATTGCGTCTGTATCTAAAATTTCTTATTAAATTTTTACAGGTGCCGAAGTGAATTGCTTATGAAAAATCGTCCAATAAATCGAAACTGATAGTTATGTGGTAAGACTTGATTATACTATCCATCGAAATTCTCTAAATTAAACCAATTTAATTATGTCTTAAATATGGCAACAAAAAAATATATATTTTCGATGCATTGTTTTGAAGCTTTTCTTAAATCAAACTGGCAAAGGACCGAACAATAAATTAGAGTTCGATTAATATTTAATGCGAATTGAATAGAAATTGATTTGAAATTGAATTGAAGTTAAATTCAAATTAAACTAATCAGTAGTTAAACTGAAATTGAATTGAAATCGAATTAAATCTGATCTAAAATTACATTGAAATTGAATTGAAAGTGAAATTCAAGTGAAATTTAAACTCAATAGAAATTGAATTGAATTAAGATTGAAATTGAATTGGAATTAAGTTTTAATTGATTTTAAATTCAACTGAAATTGCATTAAAACTGATCTGCAGTTAAATTGATGACGAATTGAAACGCATTGAAAAATTTAAATTGAATTGGAATTGAAACTGAATTGAAAATGAATTAAAGTTGAATTGAATTAAGATTGAATTAAAATAGAATTGAATTAAAATTGAAATGGGTTGAAAATTTAATTAATCGAACATCAGCTACCTTTCATTAAATGTGCCAATTATGCCTTCAATGCTGGTAGGGATTTATTTATGTGTTCGTTTTTTTTTTTTTGTTCTTCCTTTATCGGGCGAGAAACGTTTGCAATCAATATTTTCCTACACATTACATTCTTTTCATGCAAATTATGATGGACTCTTTATAATATGTACCAGCAGCTAGAACCGCTATTGTGAAGTTCCTCTGAAACATTCGAATCTTCTACCTTTATGGTCCTACATTGCAAAGCTCCAAAAAGGCAAAAATTACATTATAAAGTCTTCTAAGAGCTCCTGAGTCTCTTCAACCATTCCGCGGTAAAGCTGAAGATAGAGGCATTCCATCATTGACTGACATGATCAACCTCTGCAGATATTT